CAGCAGGTTACTACAGAAACTAACTACTGCCTACGTCTTTTAAACATGGGCTGTAGTAGTATCTGCAGAAACTGCCATGGTTGCAGGGTTACTATATAATTTGCTCACAGAAGCACGCATAAGTGTCAGTCAGATTTCGAAAGTTGCACGAGCAACAGCGATAAAGGATCACGTTTCAAATTCAAAACTCTTGCGCATGCTCCGGGGGTTCTATGATCTAACTTTCTCACACACACGGGGTCTCTGGCGCATGGACCAGGGGTTCTGCGACCCCGCGTTCTCACCACGCTTGGTCTCTGGCGCCTCCACCGGGGTTCTATGACCCCACGCTCTCATCACACGGGGTCTCTGGCGCCACCTGCGGGGGCTCTGTGACCCCACGCTCTCACCGTACATGTTGTCTGGCGCCCCCACCGGGGGTTCTATGACCCCACGATCGCATCACACTGGGTCCGTGACACCTCCACAGGGGGTTCTATGACCCCACGATCTCACCACAGCCTACTAGAAAGGAACTAGAAGGCTACTACAAAGGAAGCGTGCCACTAGCGAAATAGCGCATTGCGTATCATGCTTTAGGAGAATCGCCTGAACGATCGATACGTCTTTCTATCTCTAAACTATGTAATCGTTGCAGACCATACGTATTTATGGATGTTTCAATGGTTGACAGCTGTCACTCGTACATAGGTTGGTAGTGAGTCACGGCATCATTAGTGGAACCAAGTGAAGACTGCTCAACTCGACAGGTGACTAAGAGCCGAGGAATTACTATTGCTTCCCTTTCTGTCTGAGTTTTGTTATCATTTATTGCGCACGTATTTGCTTGTTAGCTGAAAGCGGTTTATGCTTTTGTGACTTTCCTTTAGACAAACCTAAACACAAGCACTTGCTATTTGGCCTCCAAGTTTTGTGCTGGTCCACCTCCAGTATCACACATCATCACCCACCCCTTTGTTCAGATGTCCAGGTATTTTTTGTAAGAACCCTTCTTTGTTTTTTTTTGTTTACTTTGTTTTGGGCCACATTGCAAGAATTCCTGTTATCATTAGATAATACTCATTCTGTTTCCATTATTTCGCAGTGACATCACCGGTATGGCGTCCAGCTCTGTCAGCCAGGAGGATTTTGACATTGACTTTCAACTGACATCCAGAAGATCCAGGATCAGAACAGCAAGAGCAAGGATTGGTCCACCCAGAATAACAGACACATCTTCGATAAATTTTCAGAGTAATTCTCTTTGTATTCATTACAATTGATACTAAATTAGCTAGCCGTTCAACGTCATACAGAGAAAAATATGAAATAATATGGTAGAAAATCTTGTAAGACTAAAAATAAAAGCACTGTTTGAAAGGCCATCTCAGTACTAATCGTGGTATATACATTAATCACAAGTAAACAACTGACTGATTGACCACTCGATTTGGTATTAACCCTATTTTGTTAGCCTGTGTTGGTCTATGCTTCCTATGTAATTCATTTTGTATTGCAGAGAATACTCCGAATGTGGAGGAATCCCAAGGAGTATGCGAAACAAGTACAAACAGTGCACCCGAACATGAGAATCAACAGAACAAACCTGTAATGAGAAAACAAGACAAACGAGTGACTGGCCGGTGAGTAATCCCATATGTTGCTGATTCTGTGAGAAAGTTACAAAGATGAAGTTACATTGAATTTTCAAGTACATGTCGCTACTATTACATAGATCCACTGTAGAGTTTGCATACTTTAATAACACTTTCTGGATCTGGTTCTAGTGTCCTTAGTGTCGTACCCTGTTTGCACAGGCCAACACACATGAACAAGGGCAAGCAGCAGCGCGATAGACGGAAACTTAGAGAAAAAAGGCGAAGCACAGGAGTAGTGCATTTACCATCGACGGAGGTTTGTCACCGTTTCCAGTCACCTTAAGTTCCCAATATCTTGATGATTCTGCACTAATTTCACAATTAAACGACAAGTCTTTGTATTGATGCTCGTTTGATATCGAAGTCCTTAGTCTTTTGTATCTTGCATGAGACATTTAGATATATACATATATATATATATTTTTTTTTTCAATCCTAATGAATCTAAACTATGACTTATACAAGCGAGAGTATTTGATTTTAATTTTATATCTGATATTTTCGATCTATATCGTAACGTAGCTTGTCATGGTAGAATCGTAACAGTTGTGGAATGTACGGCAAGTAGAATTGCACTTAGAGATACGCTTTCAATACGACGACTGTGTATTAGGTCGCGGTTATTAATGGGTATTGGTAAAAGTTTTGTGTGTGCGAATCCCGTTGTTACTCCGCAATGTAATTTCGTTAGCGACTTAATTCTGCAGAGTACAGGAGGTAGTACAGGAGAAGATGAGGAAGAGCTTAGTGGCACTTGTCTTGAAACTAAACACAACACATATCACAATGAGTTCCTTGATCCTGAACTCATAGAAGTAAGTTCGTGTGATATTATATATATACATATATATATACATCTGTTTTATATACATACATACGCGCAAATACCGCCCACGCGGTGAAACACGTGAACCACATATATATTCGTTGACAGAAACTATGTATGTATGTCAAACTACGCATGTTTCAGGAACGGACAGCAAAAATCTTTACACAAAGGCGAAACAAAAGGTATAAAAACACTGAGATATCCTATTACGGTAGCAAGATGACAAATTAATAGTGCTTTAGTGAGAATTTACGTAGTTATCTGTAATAAACTGCTACTGCTTTTTAGGCATTACCGTACTTCCTACAGGTCATGTATAAATAGGCACAATTGGTAAGTGCTACCTGTCCGTGATTAATGTACAATTAGGCACGACCTGTACGAAGTACGGTAGAGCTAGTAGATTCTTTTAAATTACGAGCCTGCGTATTGTAACAAGTACGTAAGTCCTTTGTATACATTTTATATACCACGATCTTGAATCGGTTCACAATTATATATCACTCGTTTATAATCACAGTAACCTTTATCCAATTCACATTACACTAAAGCGCAAACTAATTACAAAGAGAAAAAAACAAACTATCAAATCGAAAAATACCATAGACAATTATATCGGATAATCAGGATTGTTTACAATAAGGGTCGTGCCTAATATATCGTTATAGGCAGCTCGGACTAACATGGGCGTGCACATGTCGACTAATATATGAAAAATACGAATTTAATTTTAGCCATTCCGATTTCGAAGCAGACGACGAAGAGTTCGATTCCCTGAATCAGTCTGACAGCGTCAACCAGTCCGACCACGGAAATCATGAACCGCAACAGACTTCGGTGAACACCGGAAATACGCCGAGGCTGCCCACACCGACAGGAGACAGTCCTCACGAAGTATTTGCCACAGAAAAATATTCAATCGTTAAAAGAAAGTACCAGTCGACTCTTGGCATAATGCCGCGCGAGACATTTCCCCTGCATACGTACTTTCACGCATACACAAATTCCCTCTCCCACCACGTTGCGTACGGGTCGTCACTAGCACAATCTAACTGTTGCACAGACGCTGGGCCCGGGGCTATGACGACACGGAACTTAGCATGAAGAGAGCTCTCGACGCATTGCCGTTTCCGAGAATTGTGCTCTCCTACAACCCAGGCCGCGGCAATATGTTAAGAGTCCACTGTAGAACGATCGATACGTTTGAATGATAATATCATTCTCGCTGGTGAAATTTCAGTTGATCGAACGCGCACAAGAGGAGAACAGGAGGCTACTGTCGCTCCTCGAGGATCGAGATCACAAGATAATGACGTTACAAGGTCGCCTGCTGCAACAGCAACACGAGATGACACTGGAACGCGAACGACTGCGAGAAGAGAACGCCGCGTTGATTCGCGCTATGGCCGCTTTGGCCAGTAATTAACTTTCCTTTTTAAGCGAGACGCACCGTCGATCCTACGGATCCGTTTTCTTTAGAGATTCTGGATCCACGGTAAAAACGCTACATATACCGATAGTTTTACCTTAATCGTGAATTTACTTGTTAATTAATAGCCGATACAGAGAGTGAAAGAGATAGCATGAATGGCTTTTAAACGTTTATGAAACCGAACACAGAGAAAAGGAAAGATAAAACACGATCGATTAAAATTAATAAGTCGCACCGCAAGAGAATCAGGGTAAGTTACAACTACAAAGTAAACACTATACAACAGTCCGCTCTCGATTCCTCTCTATATCATGTTTTGCGCAACAAGCGATAGATCTCGTCATACGAGCAGCAGAAGTAATCATAATTTATCTGCTTCAACCTATAGAGCTTTAGTTGAGTGAATTTTATTACGCAGCAGTGAGAGAAAAGTAGGAAAAATACATATATGTATTGTTTTACGTCTCTGTACACTGTTCGTATCTAATCTTGGTCGTTAAGGTGGGATTAATAGGTTTTTTTCGCGATGTAACAGCGTATATACGGTAGACGAGGTGCTCCAATTCAATTACGTCATTTTATTAGACGATTGAACGAGAAAATGATTGTCGAGACTATGCTTGATGCGGCGGTTGCAAACTATCATTAAGTACACCGGCCTGTCTGAATCGAACCGGCAGTTTTATACTGTAATTAACCCATAGCCAGTGACATGCAACGGTATCGTTTTACAGGACTTTTCTGTAATCGTTTTTCAAACATAAAATTGTGTAAGGTGAATATGTACATCTAACCGCACAGAATGTGCTTAATACACTAACTTATCAACGAATGAAGTAATCTCCTATGATAATGTGAAACGAATAGACATTTATTTATAAAATAGATTACAGAAAACCCGTTGTAGCCCCATACTTTTGCACGACACTTGAATATTATCAGTGATGCCTCGACTCTTGTCCTGTCGCTTGGTGTTACTTTTTTACCCGTAAAGATCTCACTTTTGCCGCATGTATTTCGTTGGCGTGTAAGAGATTAAGGGGAAAATGGCGCGTGACGTGCGTGGTGGAAACGCGAAAAAGTAGGCGTGGATTCGTGCGAGGCGTTCGCGCGAACAGGAAAGCACAAAACAAGCAATTCCGTATTCGCATTTAATTCGACGGAGGGGGGTGGGGGGATAATGGAGCACGTTTGAAATGTCAAGGCGAGGGATCGATTATAGAAGAGAATGCACGAATCCCCTAACCTTTAATTAGTTGTACCCCGTTTACAACCTAATACATTTACTTACAGCGAAGGTATATACAGGATGTTCCATAGAACGTAATGGCCCATGTGGCCGTTCGAAAAACTCGGGACACCCTGCGTACACCCCGTATATACAGTTAGAAAAAGCAGGAGACTGACAGTACGCGAGTATACATTATGCATATGAGCTAGCATTATCGAGAGAAAGTGTATAACAGGTCGAATTTGTAAATTACGTACTTGATCGTATGCACAATCATAGTTTTTATTTGTTGTGAGTAAATAGAGGTTCGACATTACGAACTGGCGTTAAAAAAAAAAAAAGGAAACTTTGCATATACAGATGTGTCCCCGCTTATTTTACTACGCGCGGTTGCATGCGTATGGCGGCGGCCAACTTTGATTTTCACGAACCGCGCGTGATTTCAATTCCCCGAAGAAGAGATTGCTCGGTCTAAAAAGATTCTCGCACCCAATTTCCCATCGCAAGAATTTGGAACCTTTATTATATTCGAAATTCGATATTTTCTTGTCTAAATAAACATGTTCTTAATAATCGTATCTATTATGTTCAAGTCTCCCCCAACCTTCCTTTCCCCGTTATATATATTCTTTGTGCCTTCAGCTTTATCAGACTATGTAATTACGCCGAGGATATGCAGGTGTATAGAAGGACAGTGAAACAATGTGGTCGAGGATATGCACTCGACGGTCTTAAGCGGTCGAATAGCTACCGGGTCTTCGGATGTTCCTGAACGTAACATTCTCTCACCCAGCTTCATGGTTCGATACACCATGTTGGGTCTGGTTTACGTGAGAGCACGCTCATCGAAGAAGCAATTAGCGCAACGACTGTTTATCGCAGGTCGACATGTACAATTTTATTGTTTTTTTTTTTTTTAAAGTTCTTCCACAATCCAGTAAACGCTACATACACATATACATTCTTACGACGCAAAACAGGTACTACACGCTCCAATGGCCTTCCGCGCTTCTCCCTCTCTGTTTACATTTTTTTTTTCTTTATTACGGTGCTACCGATCCTACTCTCTTTTTCTGCGAATGTCCCCTCCGTTCCGCGATCGCCTGTGTGTGTGTGTGTGTGTGTGTGTGTGTGTGTGTGTCTTCGCTCTGCGATAGTTGTTATTATTATTATTATATTTACAACGCTATCCACTATAATTTTTTTTACAAAGGACCACGGCGGGCGTCGCGACATCCTTGGGTTAGCGGGATACACTACCTATTACTCTTTCCACTCTCGCTGCTCCCTACCTTTTGGCGACGCGATCATCAAGTATCCGTGATCCATTAAAGAGGGGAAAAATAAAGGCGACGTTTCTTTGATATGTACCGTTTTCTTCTTATTCTCGAGAGAGAGAGTGAGGAAATTAGAGAATATATTTGAAGGAACTTGCTCTGGTCTCCGTATGCCATTAATCATGACACTTCTTTTGTCCACACACAATAATAGGTTTCGCTCTATCTCTCTCTCTTTCTAGCTTGTCGAGCTTTTATTGTCAACAGGTTGAGTCTCTAACGTAGAAAGGCATATCGGTTAAAAAGAAGCGATTTCTTTCTTCCAATCTTTCTCTTTTTCGTTTTGAACAGCTGCTCGGTTTGATTAACAGCGCGCGGCGATTGTCGTGTCGGTAACAGTATTCGCACGTGTTTACAAATCCTAAATCAACGGGTCCCCTGTAGGCCGTTGCTCGAGGTATTTCGACGATCAAAAGAGTGTGGATCTTTCTTTCTTTCTTTCTTTCTTCACGCCACGATCAACTCGGTAGTCGCGCGAATTAACGAGGATGACTTGTCGGTTAAAATAAAAGCGATATTACAAAGCTAAGATACGTGTTTTACAAAGACGATCAGAAACTGGCAATTGGAAACACATTCTCGAACAGAATATACACTGAAACTGCCTCGCGACTCGAGTGTGAATCGTGTCAGTACGGACGAAAAAGTTTCCGTGGCGCGATTCCGTTCGAGCCTGATTCGCACAGATCTCAAACAATTCTTTAGTTCGAAGAACTTACAGAAAGGGATGCTTTCCCTCCCGCTGTGTGGGGAGCGTTCATTGAAATCTTTGGTCACGCGTGATATGCAGAGTATATTTTATTGATTCCCACTGCTCTTTAATTATTTCGAATTTCACTATAATACTTGAACAGAATATCAGTATTAAAGTGTCGCATGAAGTTCGTTACAGATTTGTAAAATTTCTTGAAACACGCGTATTCGCAGAAGAACCGTGTCCATCTGCGCATCCATATAGCGCAGCACACATGACAGCAAAATTGTTTGATCTCTCGATGCTTGTACATTGGTCAGAGCGATTCAATTGTTATTTTCTATAAACACGTTTGAGAAAGATCAACATTCGCGTAATAATTTGGTCGTTACATCGAACTTCAAACGCTCGAAGCCTGAAAAAAAAAAAAAAAGAAATCTGTGTTTGGCATCATTATACATCGTATTCGTCTAAAATAGTATCCCATTTTGTCCCTCGAGTTTCTCGACGACACGTGGTTCTATTACTCTAAATTATAATTGGCTGGGGGGAGCATTTACCCTTTCCTTCATTCTCTCTCTCTCTCATTCGCGTTCGCACCTTACAGTAATTCAAATTATATCCCAACAAACGACTAGATGATCACGATGGTTGGATCTCAACCAAGATCCTTAAATGCTACGGAGCGCTCGTGTGGTTAAAAGTTTTTCCGGTTAACGATAATATTATTTTTATCCAAATATATAAACCACCTCGCTATCAAGTAGTGTAATACACGAAATACAGATACAAATAGGCAAAGGCAAAAAGAGAAGAAAAAAAAAATTAAAACGCAAACATAGTAAATTACTGATCTCACAATTCGACCGTTTATCCATCCACGTGCACGTAATATATATTATCTCGCATGGCAAAACAAGTTCTATACCCGGGGTGCAACGAAGGCTCGAGACGCAACATTGGAAACGAGCGTGATCGCCAACGGCTACGTGCGCGCGACACCAGTGCCCCTGAATAAAAGGTACTTCTAAGATCCCTCGAGATTAAAAAAAAAAATATATACTTGTAAAAGCGAAAAACGAAACATGGGAATATAAGAAGGGACAACGAAAATACCCATCTTCCTAAATATAATACACGTATACACGGAAAATCGTTTCCAAAATTGGGGGGTGGGGCGAGAACGCGTCGTAACATGAAAATAATATACTCTCGCCTAACGTCTACGACAGGAAGAAATGAATACTAGAACGAACGCCTATGTATGGTGTCTTAGACCTTTTGTACCAACCGTGGAACACTGTCGCGTAAGTACACCTTTTTTTCTTTATACGACGATTGCACCAAGTCTCTCTCTCTCCGACGAAATAAATAATCCGCGACGTGGAGCGTTGCCGGCTAGGGTGAGGAGGTGCTTGTGTGACGGGGATACATTAGAACCCGTTTTATTGGCTGTTAACAACAAGAGGCGGCGTTCTAGATCCCCGAACGTTTGAATTTCCCGCCGGTCAACGAGGCCCTCTCTTCTTCAATCAATTCCCACTGAACAAAAGTTATCCGGTGATTAGAAATTAATCTGTCTCTGTGTTGTGTGAATCAGCCTTTCCCATAATCTACCGGGGGCGATCGCCAAGGCACGTATATAGCAAGGTAATTCGAGTTCTTCGTCTTCTTCTTGTTTCTTCGTATATAGTTTTCCTCGCGAACAGAAACGGACTTCGAGTCGCGCGGATATACAGGATATGTATAGTTTCGTTTCGACGCCGGGAGGTGGGGTCGGCCTCGTAATCGTTTGGTTCCTTCGGATTGGACCGCACCGGTCAAAAGATGGCGTTGGCAGCGCGGTTCCAACCGAATATCCCGGGAACACGCGTCTTCACACGCTGCAACCGGACGTAACCTCCTCGCTGCTGTTGTTCTGCTGCTGATGCGACCAGCGACACTGATGGCAGCTCTTCGGCTGTTCCTCGGGGGCAGACGGGGCCATGCCACCAGACGCCCTCAAACCTTGCTCGAGCTCCAGCAACTGGCCCATGAAGTTCAGGTTCGGGCTGATTATCGGCCTGGCGTTCTTCACGAGCTTGTACGCCTCTACCATCGACAGGCCCTTGTGCCGCATTATGTACGCGATCGCGATCGTCGCGCTACGCGAAACACCGGCCTGACAGTGCACCAGCACGCTGCTCCCGGTTTTTCGGGCTTCCTCTGTAAACATAAAATTATTCCACCTGTTATTTCATGAAAGACACAGGAGTACACTAATTAATTAGGTCGAGTTCACAAATAACTTTCGTCGTCGAGACTAAAGGTACGTTTTCACGTGACGGTAAATTGTAACTTTTACGGGTTATCCATACTAAGTTTTTATGACTCTGTAGTCGTGACACTGGTTTACATTTGTCACGTATTATCACAGCAACAAAAGTCATGATTTCTACTGCCACGTGAAAACGTACCTTCATAGAATTACTAAATAACAATTGAATTAGCAATGGTCTTAATATTAGGTAAACTGAACATGAATAATTTAATTTAGAGGTAATGGGGAACGTTGCATGATATTGTTAGACTGCCTTGAATCGACATAAATTTAAAAAAGCAAATCGAAAGTTATTTATGACAGTCGATAACAATGAAGATTGATTTTGAATGCTACGAAATACTGGGTTGAGTTAAGTTACATTCAATGTCTTCCGGTACTCTACTTCTAAGAGAGTCGAACTCTACTCAGACGTAAACAAAGATGTCTGCCACGCGACTATGCTTTTTCCACTATCTTGTAGAAGTATACACACAGTTACATGCAGTTTCATAAACTGGTATCAAGGAGATATGTCAAATTGGACACCTGTTACGAAATATCGAGTAATTCTTTCCGGTCCATTCGGCTCGAAAGCATGGACGACTCTGCGTGGGTCGTAGTGAAACGGGCCGAGGGATGAGGGTCATCGACGCGTCTCATTCGGGGTCTACGTCATCCGGAGAATTTCTAGTAGGTGATTTACGGGAACGAACGGGGAACACACAATGATCCATCCGGCCCCGTGTAACTCGCTCGGATGACGCGCGCGCGCGGGGGCGATCGTGTTATAAACGGTCAAACAAACCAGCAGTCGTGGGTAACCCAAACAGGCGATTCGGTTAAGTAACATGAGGGACGCTATCGTATCGCCAATGAGTCACAGCACGACGAGCGCCCGTATCCACTCTTAACGTACTACTGTCTATCTGCCTCTCTTTCTCGGGAGACAGAGAGAGAAAGCTTGAGAGCCGCGTCGAGCGCACGTGCGGAGACGATGTGTGTGCATCTTTCCTTAAAAAAAAAAAAAAAGCTTCGACAAGCTTCGTATCCGTGAAAAACCACTTCGTATGTTTGCTTCGGAACGGGAAGCAGAAACTAACGGGGTAGTTAAGTTAGAGTAAGAACTGTGGTATTTCGATAGGAATTTAACATTTCTAACTAACAATTTTCACGGATCGACAGGAATTGACACTTTCAATGAAATATTAAACGAAATAAATTTGGTTAACGATTAGCAGAGACCTACCACTGTGTACGACTCTGACAGTACAGAGTAGCGAACAACAAGAAAACACTGCATACCTTTTTCCAGCTTTCGTTCACTGATTGTTCCTATAACTATTACTGTACCGCGGAAACGATCATTTGGCGAAGACAAAAGAAAGTGTAATCACGTAATAAGGATAAATCAGCGCCGGATGAAGGGGGGCTACGGAGGTTATAGCCCCAAGTCACTTTCTAGGAGGCCCCTTGCTAAGCCTTCTAATTAAATACTTTTTAATTTTATTTAATATAAATTTCAATTCCTCTAGATTTATGTATTTTATTTTTTCAGAAGGTTCGAGTTTCCCGGGGTCCAAAAATCTTAATCCAAGCCCAGGATAAATAGCAAGGGTTTAAGATAAAACTGCCCCAATTCGACTGCATAATGTGAATCAGGATTATGCTCTAACGATCGAAGCGTGTATACACCCGGAGCAAGAGTCCCCGAGGTGTCGATTAATCGGTAATAAATCGTCGTGTGGAGATAAGAAGCGCGACGAATGTTATCTGGGCCCCGTATCGAGGGGGGTCATGGGTAATCGAAGTAGTTTAGGCAAACCTTTGCCGCGGCGACACAGGGGTGTGTTGGTGTTGCGCATGTCGGGGGCCCCTAAACGCTACACCCATAACTACACGAGTGTGGGGGGGGGGGCGACGGCGCGTCTCGTGCGTCCGAGAATTACTCGTGTAGTGTAGGACTCTTGCGAGCTGGCATCTGCTATGAGTCACGGCTGACGAATGGCCAGACAGAGAGACCGGGGAAAGCTCGAGGAGAGGGGTCGAGGGGAGACAAACGGACAAACGGTGCGAGAAAATGATCGAGTGGAGCGTGGGGACCGGGAAATCATTCCCCCAATAGAGATGGGGATCGAACACCGCGATAATGTGAACAACCGCGACATTGTGTCGCGTGAAATGTTCAATTAAGATCAATGTAAAACTGATGAAATTCATCGATTATAAAACGGTTTACCTTGTTATCGAATCTAATCTTGCAATATTTCATTAATCCTCCGTGGGCAAACTGGGTCGGTTATGTACAAGCCTAATTTTTTTGTAACATTTTTATTAATAAAAATATTCAGAGGACAGTCCAGGAGAAATTAAATTTTGGTTGGTTCGTCGACGGACACACATTTCCCACGGAGAATTCAGGGAGTATAGTAATAGGGTATAAAGCTTCGACCGAAGTTCGATTTTCATAAGTGTCTAATCGAAAATGACCCGGTTATTTAATTTTACAATCAATAGGTACTCTTGCTTAGGATCGAAGAACAATGAATAAACCTTTTTTTATTCGAAGCTCTCGATAGTTTTGTCCATTGCCTCTTATATAGATCAAGACGTCAAAAATGAGGAACATAGAAGGTAAAGCAAGCGAAAATCGGAAAATTGAGTGAGAAAAACAAGTGAAACGGGAGTAAAGGGAGGAAAGAGACAAACGCAGGAGGGGAATGAGTGAGTCAGAATGAGGAAAAATAACGAAAGGGGGCAGCGGTTACAGAGATATATTTTCGGGCGGCAGAAGGCGCATGTGTACACAATGACAAAAAGCCCGCGACACCTGTCGCGATCCCGAAAACGATATACCGTGTGCGGGTTCTGGGAAATCGGACGTTACTTGTTGCCCTCGAGTTTAGCCGCTTGTTTTGCACCCTTTCCCCTCCCGGAACCCCGTGTGAGTTCTTTGGAAGGTTAAAATTAAAACGGAAGATTCACGTTCTCGGAACGCGCGAACATCGGTCCAATATGGCGGCTGGCTGTGCACCACTCGCGATTCGAAACGTTGGAATGAATCACTGTAGAAGTCCTATTAACCCTACGTTCATGAACATTTTTTTACTAACGCTAAAAACTTTTTTAAAACGACAGGGATAGAGCAATTTCAGAAGTCCTCTTCCTTAGGACGCTAATTTCGCAACATAACCCTCTACAGCCACGTGTGTGACTTCCATAATCAATTTTTTTATTTAGATTCATTTTATGAATAACTATGACCACACTGTTCTGTCTTAACCTCTTCAGAGAAATAATTATTAAGACCGGAATATATTTTTTATTTTTATACATATTAACAACAATAAGTTAAGATCCCTGTTTCCTTAGGGAATTCCCTAATGAATATTTAATTACAACTTTAGAATGATGCTTGAATAAAAAAAAAAAAACGAAACATACACGTATGTGCCAGTATCCCTCAAGAGGTTAAGTATTCAAGAAGAATCAGAAATCCTTTTATTTACGATTCTTCTCAGCATAACTCGTCTCCACTGACCAAAGAGTTCCAAGAGCCACAGAACTCAGAGAACAGTTACGATCCTCCCCTCCCTGATCACGCCTATCGTGTCTGTCTAAACACCATTCGCTCTCGTTTTTTTCCCTCGTCAGCGGGCCGACGCACACAGAGTTCGGTGTAACGGAAACAGGGTGTAACCAGCCGTTTCCGGTGGTGGACCATTCACCGTGAGCGCGCGAGGACTAGAAGACGAAAGGCTTCCATTCATGAAACTATGAGTCACGCAGACGCGCGCGCGCGCGCGCGAATGCACACCAGTAAATCCCCCCTTCACAGTGCCCCACTGGCTGTGTGTGCCTTCTCTTCGTTCCCCCAGTGTATGTCAGTCCCCCCTGTGTGTTTATTGCACCGCATTCTCTGACGCGTGTGCGTGTGCACGAACGCGAGACGAGGTCCCGTCGGGCGTGTGTGTGCGTGTATATGTGAGTGCACAGCGCAAACGGGGTGGGGGAAAGAGAGTCCTCTACCGAATGTGCAACTGGTGGAATGCTGTACCTGGCCAACCGTCCCGCCGCCGGCGTCCCGACACCCGTAGGGACTGTTGCGTGAAATGAAGGGCACCTTGGTGCGTTGACCGTTAAGACGTCTTTTGTGGGCAAACAAAGCGACGACTTTGACCCTTCAAGGCCCTGCGCGCGCGAGCTACAGATTTAGCGTGGTGACGCTCTCTTGTATGGGACGTTATTAACCCCTTTTGCAGTTTCATTTGACTACTGACGAGTCTACACATCGTTCGGGAGAGATTAATGGTGGAATGATTGCTAAAGTAGTTTTAGTTTATGGGAACTGGTGTCAGTTTGATAAGATGGGAACTCTTTGTGATTTGACGGTTGGGAAGGCGCGATTTTGTGACTGAAGGTACGTTTTTCACGTGACAGGGAAGAGTGAGTTTTACGGTCAAGACTTTAAATGTTGGTGACTTTTGTCGTCGTGAAAACTAGATGTCACGTTGTTGTGATGTTGGTTTATATCGTCGTACGGTGTCATGACAACGAAAATTAGGACTTTTACTGTCACGTGAAGACGTACCTTAAGAGGTATACTCTAATGGGAAAGGATTAATGTTTGGGCTTGGATATACTGAATGTATTAATGAGTTTCTTTTTTAATTAATTCACAGTTACGATTCAGCGCCATCTACACCGGCCTGCCATATTTTTCCAGCACCCAAAGCAGCGAACAGATCACACACATCCTTTTACGAGGGGGAATTGCTTTATTCTTGAGAAACAGGGCCCCAGGGCCAGGGAAGGAAAGTTTAACCGGCGCACAGGTCACAAAGGATCAAGTCCTTGGTTCCCATGAGGGGAAATAAAGGCAGTTTGAAATCCTCAAGACCGTTAGGAAGTTTCCTGTGGGTATACAGACTCTAGAACGATTTGGAGTACGATGACCGTTTCGAATTTCCGAGTGAGGATGTTCGATTCAGATTCGATTCTCCGGAAGATCGATTCCCTTGGGTAACACGTCACTGACCACTGTGTATAACGGACAAAAGTATGGGACCAGGTGTGATAATTAAAGAAAGAGGAAACTATTATTTTACAAAGAGTTAATGAAGGTAACGCGTTGAAACTCATAGGAAGTGATTTGTATGTGTACTAATTCCGTAACTTGTATTTTATCGTAACAGAATAATGTCTTACTGTTGTTCCATCAATCATGAACTCTGGTCCCATGCATTTGTAGTTGATTTATGGTTGGTAATAACGTGTGTCACCCAAGAGAATCGATTTTCCGAAGAATCGAATCGAAATCGAACATCCCTAATTCCGAGTCGAAGACACGTCTTTCCTAATCCTACATGAAATATGAATTACGTGCAGCGTAGGACGTCGAGTTCTGAACGGTATGTATACGTACGAAACGGGAATGACGATCATTGGCCGAGGACACACCCAGTCAGCCGAAAGAATTACTCATCGACAGAGTGAGAGAGGCCAGAGCGTCTCTCTTTGTGAACGCTCGTGTTGCCTGATCTCTTTCTCTCCCACAGTGAATTAAATACAGCCTCCTTCTCTATGAATGTCGTCGTAACCTCATGACATTTTGCACCGTCGATGCAATTGGGACTAATTTACCACGAGCCACTTCTCTCTCCCTCTCTATCACTGTGTGTATTTCTATCCTATTTTTGTTGAATCACGCGCAACAGGTCTGAAAAGCGTCAATGGATCGACCAACGCTCGCTCGTTCAATGTCAGCCCTGCGCGCATTTATAAACGCGTCTCGCGTTTCCTCGCTCCGCTAACTATTCAAATGCTTCCCTCGTCGGTCCAATTCATCAATTAACCGGAGTTGACTAATGCCCAGCGTGTGTTTCACTGTTTGCGAGTGGACGTTAGCGTACCCGAACTCATAGCCGACTTTTTATCAAAGAAATAGCATCGACGAAAGGTAAATAGCCATGAATCGATATCCCTTGGAACTTATTAACCTTCCCCGTAGAGGCAATGTAGGTGTCGCTAACGACCCAAGCGAAATCCCACTTTTTCTCGAATTGTCCCTTCGAATTTTTATTTTCCGTGATAACAGTTTCAAACATTTGACTTAACGAATGATCGTATAATATGAAAGGGACTTCGATAAAGGTCTCAGAATTTGTTCGGATGTTTCGAAAGCTAAATTCCAGTGACAAGAATTAGGCTTGGACGTGAACGACCCAGAGTTTGCTTATTGGAGGATTAGCCACTGATGGACCGCGGATTTTAAAGCTGCGTCTACACTATGTAGCAAAACAGTGTTATATAATAAATTGTTGTATAACCTTGCTGTACATCTTTTTATAACTTGTTACAAGATTATACATTTTGGACAAGTCTGTAACGAGTTTCTATAACATTTCGCGTCTCGTTATTACTAATGGTGTCACACATAATGGATAACATATAACGTGCTATATAACACACAAGATGTTACGTAACATTCCTGTTATTCTAATAAGTATATTTTAACTTTTCTATATAACCTGTTACGCTACATAGTGTAGACGCAGCTTAAGTTTCGTAGCTTTCTTTCACCAGTTTCAAACACCCAACGTGCTTCTTGTGTTCAACATTACTATCTGACAGAATACAGTAAATTCTCAATAAGTGTTCCCCTACAGAGACGTCCCAAAGTATAACAGTAACTTTTTAATGAGATTTAACACAGTAATATAGCTAATAATTCTAAAACCAATGATAGTTGTTTGAGCCGCATATGGATATTAGTTCATGAAACATTTAATGTTCGAGGAACACTCATCGAAGATTCACTGTATCTGAAACCTGTGTGTACTACCCTACGCAAACATCAAAGGGCCACGCAACACTCACCGATGAAGTCAAAGGCCTCCTCGAAGTACTGTTTAAGGTTCTGATGCCCGGAGTCCGAGGCAGGGATCTGTCTGTAGGTGATGCCCCTCTCCTCGTGATAACCAGGCAGCTGTGACGTGACATTTAGGACCCTGGTGGCGCCTAGCGCCCTAAGAAGCTGAAGATCGGCCGCATCTCTGCCGTTCCCGAGGTACAAGAACGGTAGTACACGGGACGCTGGATGGCTATCGATGTCCGCCGGTTGGGGTGTCGGTGGCCCGGATAGGCTCAACACCGGGCAACCAGGACCGGGACTGGGGCAACCGCCAACGGTCGACGGACCGGCTCCGCCGGCTGGTAGAAGCGTGTCCTCGCAGAGGTCCTTGTGCCGCCTATGGAACTCTTTGTGTCCACCTGGAAAACAAACGGAGAAACCAGGTGTCCGTTAGATTCTATGTAGGATCTGACAGGTTTTGTTTCTCGAAATTGTTTGAAAAATATAGACCCTCGAAGTTGGCAATTTTCACCAATTTCTTTTTACGAAAACTGTCTTCATAGAAGAATTTTCGCCTCCACAACTATTAAGGCGAATTTACACTTTTAATGTGCATCACAGAATTGATCAAAAGTAGAGACTGGCTATAGTTTGTACACTGGTCAATTTGGATATAATGCAGATGAAAACATCCAGATTGTAAAGTTTAAATTCGCCTTTACTGATTCATTTGTTTTTTGTTTTTTTTTTTTTTTAACGTAGTGGAGCTTGATCGCGATTATCAGTTAGGGCCTTTAGCGAAGTCAGGTCATCCAACACTCTCTCGACCGTGGGAACTTGGCCGTGTTAGGTATCGAATTGCATATAAAAAAAGAGAGGAAAAAAGAACGCAGGATACCCTGGACCGAAGGGCGCGCAGGTGCTGTATTTGCCCGCCACCCAAATTTCACTCGGAGATTTATAACGAACTCGTTCGCATGTGGTGTACAAGTTTCATGTTGCGTTAACGACGGGAGGGGGATATCATCCTTTGCTTGTGTGTTTAACCAACGGGGACGGTCGAGTGACTTGTGAACGGGAAATGGAATGATGTTTGAGTAGTTCTTCCAAAATTGGAGGGACAGCGTGTACAGTGGATGAATCGACTTATATATTCGAGCCACTGGTATAAATTTACGATCTCAACAGTTGTTTCTTATAATCAATAGATTGTTGAAGTTTATGCAAATTCATAATTTCAGATACCAATATCTAAAAATGAAAATGGAGCAGAATTTTAAATTCTCTTCTAGAAGCTTTACTGCGTTAATAGTAACGCACAATAGTGTTAATGTGCATTAAAACCGTTATTTTATTGCATTTCCCCAAGTTAAAAGGTTCTGTAAACAGATTCGCAGTCTAATAATCACATAAGCTAAATGTAATGTATTTCTCCCGTATTTTTAACGGACAATCGCTATTCGAAATTACCCAATATAAAAACCTTGACGTTGTGATTTTATTTCTACGCAAACATAAAAAGAAACAAAAACTATATTTTTCGTATACTCGGGGCTCTAGTGATTCGATCACCTACTCTGATTTCCGTGGAAGTGATATAATTACAAAGGAATATCGAACAATTATTTAACCCTTTAAGACCACAATTACGTTATCGTTATTTCGTTACCCCAATTTTCTATATTTCGTATCTTTTTTTTTATTTAAACGGCTAAATATGGTATCTCCGAGTACCGGCACCATTGTACAGCATATCAGAGGACTACAAACATGTATAAATACTCATACAATTCCTGGCCAATATTCTAAGGATATTGTTTCATAACAGCATTTCGTTATAAGAGGTACTACAAACTACCTTGACTAAATAAAGGGTCAATTTGCCCCCGATACCGTGTTTCACAGCGTTGCGTTCGACAAATGCAATTAAATCGTCCAATGGCCAGATCCTAAAAGCGTCCTCGTCACCGATCCGACCGACACAATACATAATGGGGCGGACCCGTAACGGTCTCTCTCTCTTCCGCATATAATCCCATTGTTTGCTCACGGCCTGGACTCGCCAGAAATATTCATAACAGTGTCCCAGGCATTATTTTCTGTTTACGATCCGCAAATAACCACGGCAGAAACAGAAATTCTACAGTTCCTCCTTCCGCGAGCATCCCTTCTGGGGAGAACACAATGCAGACAATTCAAAGCGATCGCAGAGACTGAGGGGGGAATTGTGTGTATACACAGCGATTTCTCGAGAAAACGACGAGAGCTAATAAACCTTTCGCGGAGCAGCAGGTCCGCCATACTTCCGCGTACTACATCTAAACCTGTACTGTGTTCGACGCCCCAGGCGACTGGAGATATCCGAGGAACGGGTCCCAACGGATTTTTCAGCGAATTCAGCACATTCTTCAGGCTCCGAAGAGAACCCAAGAATCTAGAATTTTAGCACTCTTGAGTGGAGAATGTTCCGTGGCGGTTTTCGAAACCCTATAAGGACCCACCTTGCACAAGGAGTTTAAAGTCTTTCGGGTCTTAACACTGGAAACTACCGTAGAAGAACGTGTTTCTATTTCTATAACGTTGATAAAAGGAACTGGAGTATGAATTATGGTATATAAGTTCAGAATTGGTAAAGGAATAGTAAATAAGTACCAAATTGGTAGAAGAATAATAAATAAGTAAATTAGTAAAGGAATAATAAATAAATACCAAATTGGTAAAGAAATAGTAAATAAGTACCAAATTGGTAAAGGAATTATTGAATATATACAAATAGATGAATTAACCCTCCGTAGGCAATGTGGGTCGTTGACGACTCAAACGACTTCTTATTTTGTCTAGACAATCTTCCGAATTTTTATTCTTACTGACAAAAGTTTTACACGTTTGGCTTAGGGGAGGATTGTATAATATAGTAGAGACAATGGTAAATATCCCAGAATTTTTTCAGATCTTTGTAAAACCTGTAAAGGCTTCGACATAAACGACCCACTTTGTGTTTACGAAGTGTGAAAGAATATGTATGTATGCCTACCGAAGGTTAACGAACTTCTTCACGTATATACTGCAGTAAAAGTTAGAAAATGCACAGTGACGACATTTTAATCAGTACTTATAACCAGTCACTTCAACTGCAGTTCCACTGTTAAAACTCCTAGAGTGGTAGACATAAACGGAAGGTCTTTGATGAAAATTACACGAACCAATGAAATATCCTATGGCGCATCCGTGAGACAGCCGGGTACTTCCGAGATATACCTCAAAAGGACGTAAATTCCCCTGGTAAAGGGATCGAAAGCTTTTAGAATAAGCCCCTAGCTTCCTTAATCCCCCCCCCCACAGTTGAGTCAACGAAGGTATTTAAGGAGCCCAAAGGCGATCATCGATGGGTAAATATTTCTGGATGTCTTGTCCTTGTTCGTCAATAAAGGAAAATGGCAGGAAAGAGGAAGTGGGGTTGCCCGCGAATAAACGGCCCGGGTAAAAATAAAGGAACACTGAGTAACGATGGGGGAAAGGGGGGACGGAAGAAATGTGGGCTAAAAGTGTCTTCCTCTCCTGACCTGCAGCTCGTGGGGCCTGGCCTGGCTCAACGATGAGTCACTCTTCTCGCTCCCCCCTCCCTGCCGACCCGTCCCTCAGGGCCACCAACCCTCGCGGCTGCTAGTGGCTTGTCGCGGCCGATGATTATTCCGCAGTCGCCGCAACGAAACTTCCTTTCGGCAAAAGGGTGGGGGAGGAGACACACCGCTCGGGGACCTCCTTCTTCCGGATTCGATTCAATCCGCCCCACGTTTGCTTTTATTTAATCTATTACGGGACAGGCCGACATGTGTGGTAGCCATGTCCTCTGGTTAATTGTGATCGAATTATAGTTGCCTCAGATGGAAATTAAACTAATCAAAACTCTATGTTATAGAAATTTATCGATTTTCTAAGGTTGAATCATGCCAACTGGCGATACTTCCTCGAGTGATATGCTTCACTCGCATTTTTATGTAATTACGACTGACCGACTATGGTCGTTACATGGAAACGAGGTTTCCGTCTAAGCAGATGCGATTCCCTGACCCACTATGTACCGTGATTTTGCCGGAAATCGTGCATTTCGAGCTAAACGCGTACAATGAACGGACACAGCGGCTTGGATATGGAAATACGGTGTAATTTCGCGTCTATGAAAATTGCCCTTTATCCTAATGCTTCAAGTAACTGTATACAGGGTGATGAAAAACAAGGGTTCGTAACTTCTAGGGTAGATAGTACTCGCTAAATGACGAAAAAAAGTCCTGATTAACGTGGATCGGAAAATTGCATACGGTACCGATAGCTCGATCGATAGCGAAAGATTATATATCATTCTTAAAATATTAATTTTTCCACCCATGTCTATTAGGATTTTTTTCATTATTTGGCGAGTAATATTTACCTTAGAAGTTACAAACCCTCTTTTTGTATCACCCTGTATAGGTACTGCGATGGTAATCTTGTGACTAAGTATTAATTTCCTCATGATGGCGGCCATCGTTTGGGGATTACATACTAGTGTAACGGTTTTCGGAGATCTCGTTAGGCAGGTTTTCAAGCATATTAGAGTATGGTTTACATTTTAATCTAGATTATCCCCTAACAAAGTGGCACAAGTGCGCCGCCTATCGGCATCCCGTGGCGAAGACTGGTTTTGAGGGAAATCGCAGCTTTGCTGCTGTGGGCGTTCTAATGTAGCACGATCACGCCATAACGAAGTATATACGAGTCGCCTATGGTGTATGCATGTGACGTCACAAGTTCGCATTTAAACATCGCGATATTCCTAGCGACCAGCGAACGGTAATTAGGCTTAATAGGTCGGAATTCGTATTAAGAAAATTAGTACGCGTGTTCGTTGTCAGGGCATTGGCCTGATTTCCAACGGACGATCCGCCGAATATGATCCGTGTCCCGTTGTCTCAGACACATTTCGATGATTTGCAAATTTAAACGAAAAACTTGGTAATTTATAATAAAAACACCGACATTGGAAATTAACATTGTAACGGGGTTAAACCATTCCGATGGTACCTGAGAAACGAGAGCAATGAACCCTCGAGCAACTTGATTGTTATAATGACCCAAATGAGACGACCTACATACCCACTTGAAACCATTCATGTACACACAGAGCCACGCGACGTGTACATTTCATCAGCAGCATAAATTTTTACACGGCAGATCGTACTTCGGGTTCTTAATAAATAAGCACAAGTAAAAATAATCTGGGGACTTATCAATTTGCGATACGAGTACCGTTACCTACTTGTTGACAAGTGATGTAAACTATAAAATAATCCTTAACAGGTAGAAATAATAAAGAGTCTATACTTGTTATATAAATTCCACACGTTATTACGAATAAAAAGTACCTGTTTCCATGACTGTT